GGGGGGAGAGAGAGAGAGAGAGAGAGAGAGAGAGAGAGAGAGAGAGAGAGAGAGATGGGCTCTTTCACTGTCACATTTAAGGTTGTCTGTTCCAGTAAATCGGAATTGTTTGCGGTTTTGGAGCCAGTGCCCTTCTCCTACGCCGCCTTCAAATCGGCAATGCCATCTATGATATTGTCACCACCCTTTCCAACTGTAGCTTCTGCCTGCGAGCTCGACCCCTGGTGAGAAGAATCATTATGCTTTGGAGTTGCGTAGATTTGTACTCGGCCGTTGTGCTTGGGGAGAGGGGCAAGGTTTCAGGGGAAAAAAAAAATAAAAAAAATCCAAAGTTCTGGAAAAGGAATCGAAAAAAGCGTGCTTTGTGCAGCAGGAGTTGAAAGAAAGCAAGTTTTTTCTTCCGGGAGACCGGAGTACCATCTTGAAATTCGATGCGAGATTCGAGTTAAAAAAAAAGGAAAGGCGAACACTTTGACAGGACAGCTACCGTCTTCCCCCAAACACAACGCACCCTTGTTTTGACTGTGTCTGGACTCTGGACGGAAAGATACTGTATACGTTCAATATAAGGGTGTGTTCAGATTTGGGGGAAGAAGGCAGGTCTCGCTCCGATTAAGAAGATGGCGTCACTGGGAATGTATGGCTTCGTAGAAGTAAAAAGCTTTGGTGTGGCTCATATTATCATATATATTTTTTCTTAGTAGTATTATCTGAATTGAAGCAGGTTTTGTTATTCTCTCCTTCATAGAAGCTGGGTAATGACTTCCGCTTGTCCAAAAGTACCATCGAAGTTCATATTATTCTTACAAGGGAAAAAAAAAAAACAAAAAAAAACACGACACCTGGAAGTTGTTCAACTTTTCTATCTTGAGTGTTGAGCCTAGGCTACCAGAGTGGCCCGGGGTCACTTGGCCGGCCGGGCAAAAAAAAAAAACAAATATTTTTACATTTTAATTTGTGCTCTAAATTTGGTGAAGAATTTCGATGTGACCCTTGGGGGAAAAGTTGTTCAGTTTATTTTTCTGCATAACATAATTGTTGTTTTTTTTTTTTTTTTTTTTTTTTTTTTTTTTTTTTTGTGTGTGTTTTTGTGTGTGTGTGTGTGTGTGTGTGCTGGGACCTTCCCTGGTCCTTGCACGGGCTGGCCACCCGGGATCCGGGCGCCCCGGCTGGTAGCCGAGGTTGACGCCAGATTAGAGTTAAAAAAGAAAGGGAAACGGGAAAAGCCTGAAAACCGCCGGAAGGTATTCAAATTTTCTGTCGTTCGAGGGTTTCAGTGACACCTACCGTCTTCACACGAAAAGAACGCCCGGTCATTATCGCTGCATCAGGACAGAAAATGGTCCCAAATACGGCTACAATGACAGGGCGTTAGATTTGCCTCCCGTGTTTTCATAAACCCAAGATTTGATGTTTCACGCAAGCAACGCAGGCTTTTAGAGTCTGGACAAAGAAGAAAGAAAAATCAGAATGCGTGAATTCCTTCCGTTCTATTTGGCATTTTACTTTTCAGTGTGCTAACTTCCAAACAAATCTTCCTTTCTACTAATTGAATAAATTCTAGTACCTTTTTTTTGTGGGTTTTGTTTTATATATAGTCTAAATAGTAAAAACTTTTTGCGAAACTTTTAAGGGTGACGACGGTAGCACAGCCAAACTCAAAGGTAACTCCTCCGTACTGTGTTGAGGAAGGAAGGAGGTGGACTGAGGAGGTGGGAGATTCAAAAGAGGAGGTGGGAGATTCGAAAGTGGAGGTGGGAGATTCGAAAGAGGAGGTGGAGGTGGGAGATTCGAAAGGGGAGGTGGAGGTGGGAGATTCAAAAGAGGTGGGAGATTCGAAAGAGGAGGTGGGAGATTCAAAATCAGGCATTTCTGCGGTGAGTAGTGCAGTGGATGATCGTGTAGCGCAGTGCCGCCGAGCTAGCATGTCTTATGAAGACGCGGCAGAATTATCTGTAAGCCTTCTTCATGGGGGGTACTGAATTCAGCCAGATAGAACATATGGCCATTATCGTGGTAGTCGGGCCAGCTTTCAGTCCAGGAATAGTGGTAATGAGTCTAATGACCTTTTTTTTTTTTTTTTGTTTCCAAAAGAATCCTACGGTGTCCTGCGGTCCTGGGGTGGCGAGATTGCCACCGTGTTCTGGGAACTGTTGTGGCAGTCGGCTCCGATCTATTGGTCCTGCTGGGAACCGGGGCCAGAGTTACTGCGTTTTGTTTTTTGCTACATCAATTGTAAAATAAATTCACGGAAGCCTTACCCGGCTTTGCTTATGTCACCTGCCCAAGCTAGCCTCCTGAAAGCAAAAGGAGGAATGGTTCCTACCCAACATGTCCTGCAACCCTGGTTGTGCGCCACTCATCTAACCCCCCGCCCCCAAATGAGAAATAGAAAATCTTGTCACTCTTGACTACCCATCTCCCCTCGGCAAGCCCTAAGACCCAGGCCTGTACGTTCCCCTCCTGGCGGGTGTCTGCACCTTCCCGATCCGGGCTCTTTTTCCCTGCTGATGCCTTGAAACAACTTGAAGGCTGGGCTGGGAAGTGGCCGGGAAGTGGCCGGATCACCTGCGCCCGCCGAACCGGTCCAGGGGGGGTGAACCGGTAAAACCAGATGCCCCTCAAAAAATCAAGGAATGATATTTTGAGACAAGTAATTGTATTATATGACGATCCCACATACATGGATGAAAAATCGCCTTATTTGGGACTTGTGGGTGTTTTGCACATAGTCATTCATGTTTGATGAGTGCCGCCTTACAGACACACACCTTATTTACTTAGTCATTTAACCTTGACCCTTAACCCCTTACCCCTTACCCATTACCTATTTACCCCTTACACCCTTACCCCTTACCTACTTACCCCTTGCCCCTTGTCCTGTAACATTTTGTTCGAAAACCACAACCCAAACTGAAAATGCAGAAAATGAATGTTTCGGTGTCGTTCAAAAAATAAAAAATGTTCGTTTTGAAGAAATCGCAGTTGTGTCCAAAGCGTCCCCCAAACTGTGACAATATTTTCGTTTGTTCCGGAGGTTCCACGGGGGAGGGGTGATCGAGTCCCCCTGCTGGCAATCCCAGATATCTCCTACCCTCACAACCCCTTTCTTCACTCAGACCATTCAGCCCATCCACGAATGGTCTGTACTAACGAAGACACTGCTGTGCGAATCCGTGACCCATCTATTCCCAAAAAGGGGCTGCCTAGCGACCTCCTCCCACCGTGAAGGGGTGACCTTGTCCAGGGCAGGGAGCTTCTTCCAGGTTTTCAACAGGGTGAGCCAAAATGGTTCGTTCGAGATGTCCTTCCAGGCCGCCTGGCTATCGTTGTTGTTGTGCCTTGTTGTGCCTATCTACGCTGCTTTTCTTGTGACAGGCCTGGTCAGTGACTGCGACCCATTGATGTAGCTTCCACTTGAAGTTCTGTCAGAATCCATGGCTGCTGCTTTTAACCCACGAACTCTTAGAGCTTCCAAACTGTGACCATTATCACCGGGCCAATTCCTGACCTTCCTTCGGGAGAGCTGGTGTCACTCTTGCTTGACCTGATCATTGTCATTATGTCTGCCGGGTATCATTCCTCCTTGGTTGATGCTGCACCTTATCCAGCAAGATGTCCTATTCCCATTGTGCGCAGTGTGCAGTTGGAGAGGTAGGGGTGGGGAGGAAAGTAAGGGTGGGGTAGGGGGAGGGGGAGGGGGAGGGGGGGAGGAAGGAGGGGGCAGGGTGAATTCATATCGGGCCTAAGCAGTGTGATGGGGTGGCTGTGATGGCAATGAGGCAATTGGCACGGTAGACGGGAGAAGGACAAAGTTGGGTTGGAGGTATGGGACTTGAAAGCCCGAAAAGGGTCTTCTTTGCCATCTCAGTTCCATGGCTCTCCATGGTTTCCATGTGATGTTGGATGAGGAGTCCAGTGCAGAGAATTTTCTGTCTGGATCTTGCCAGATCTGCGCATAGGAATCTCGAATTGCTTGCTGTGCAAGGGGGTCTTTTTCCTCTAAAAGGTCCCGTTTCATCGACTTCCATGCTTCCCGGGTCCTTGTCCTGATCTGTTCCTCGATGGCTTGTTGAGCCTGCTGTAGGCCGAATTGGTGTTCTTTTCTTTCAAAGGAACATCGGGCTCTCCATGCCAACATGAGGATGTGCAACCGTGTATACGAGAAGAAGTTGGTTGCAAATGGGGACGAACGAGCCTGCAGATGGCTGTTGTCGCCGAGGAGCAGAAGGCCCAGGTCCCAGGGGATGTGGTGGCCAGTCAGGTAATGGAAAGCAGCATCCGACCATTGCCACAATCGAGTGACCATTGGGCATAACAGCAGGCAATGTTCCAGGGTCGCACAGGCCGGCATCTGCGTCCTCACACAATATGCGCCCTATCTGTTCCAGATCTGTTCTGGAGACTAGCCAATTGGATGTAGGGAGGCATCGGTGTAGGATCTGCCACTGCAAAGATCTGAGGTTCGCAGGCATGATCTTTGCAACTTTGGACCAGGCGAAGGGTTGTGA